GTGGAACTAGTTGGCATAATCCGTGTTTGATTTCCAGACCAGGTACCTGGGCCGTAGCCCTATTTCTGCCCCTGCACCATCACATGCTGTAGCCTCCATTACACAGGAGTGGGTTGTCAAAATGAACTGGCTCTGAATGGACTTTTTAATGAGAAGGCAGCTGAACCTGCTCTGAAATACAGCTGCCATGATTGAAGGGGTGTGATTGATCTGCACAGTTCCTGGAGCATCTGCAGCAGGGTTCCACGCAGGGGGCTTCTGGGGCCACTCTTCACGTTTGTTGTGAAAACTGGTTTGGCTTTTCATGATGAGTTTTTCACATGCACTACTTCCACTTGTCCTCTCTCCAAAAACATTTCCTTCCTCCGTTGCACTTTTCACTTGTTTGCTATCTGGCTAGCCAGATATTTGTATTGTATTAATAGAAAGAGGCGGTTTTAGGAAAGCAAAGGTATACTTTACACTTCAGTTTGGAGACCAGTGATCTAGTTTTAGATTGCTTTGTCTTTCTTGGGGGGGGGAAGAAGGCTGAATATATGAATTTTCCAGCAAGCACATGGGTAGAAAGTAAGGAGAGTTAAAAACAGTACCAGGAGTTTTTAAGGATAATTTGCAAAGCGTGAATGCATAATGTCTCCCTTTTTTGGTTTAAAAGATATGCAGTGTATATCTGAGCGCTTCGTATATAAACGACTCCTGACAGTGTTGCTGTAAATGCCTGTGGAGGTGTTCCTTAGGTGGACCTAAGGCCAAGAGCTTTCATTAAGCAAGAAGTGACACAAAAGTCCTTAAAGCAAAAATAGCATTTGTCTGCCTTTCCCACAGCTGTCCCCATGCCACATTCCCTTCCATGGCACGCCTCATCAAGGCCTCCTGACACTCGCTTCCCTCCAGTCAGGTTTGCAAGATCTGAGCTGATGAACAAAGGGTGGGTTGAGGAGCTATAGGACGGACCGGTTTAGCCCTTGCTCTGCTCTTACAAGTATACATATAGTCTTACCCCCACAAGCATACAAGGGTACGTGTACCATTTTGCCTTGTTAAGGTCTTTGGATATTGTGATTGCATTTTATTCAAGTGGCAGTGGTGGACATAAAGATGAGTCTCCGTTGCAGGTCTAGGTTATACACGACCCTGGGGGGTGTAGTCAGAGGGTCTGGTAATGGGCTCCCGGCAGGCAGAGGTGGCAGAGAAGAGCCGGAGGTCACTGCAAGGACAGAAGTTGACTTTAAGAATAGGCTGAAAGAGCTTGTGGGAAAGCAGTGCTGTGGAGAGGAGCTTGAAAATATTTTCTTGCTGTAAGTTACTGCTGTATTCAGAGAAGTGGGACTTTGTATTCACTCTTCATGGAATTCCTGACTGTATCTTCAGTCTCAGCTCCTAATAGACGTGGAACAAATCCTTTGCTTTTAAGTGTATTAGTTGGAAATATGTCCAGTCTTCACTATCACTGACTAAGGTATTCTCCTTTCCCATCCCATTCTGTTCAAATGGTCCGTATTTTCAGGTTGTCATATATTTGGGGTCTGTTTATTGATGTACCATTTATTTTCTGTGGGGATTGCCCAAAGCAATTCCTGAGTAATAGCTTGCATTCAAACCATACATTATGTCTGTCTTGATAGAAAACCAATTTCAATTGTACGTGGGATTTGTGTGACCGTGCTTAAGAAGCAGTCCTAAAGCAAGCCTAATGGGGCTAAGCTTTAAGTCTGAACGTGATTGATAATTGAGTAGAGGTCTTCCAGAAACTTTCGGGTGTCATGGGTTTGTAGTAAATGCTTAGTACATTTCAGTACAGTGTAAAACGTAGGGAAGAGAAGCAGAATATGTTGAAGTTTTAGAAAATGGGAAGAAAAACAGGGCCCTGTTTCGAACTGTTACACTCTTTATAGCTTTATAGCTGTTGGCTCAAGGCTGGGTGGCGGCTCGTGGTACTACCCAGGATTTTTCAGAGTGGAGAAGTGATCAGACCAAGGGCAGATTTTGAAAAATATGGATTTGAGCTGCATCTGTCTTCAGGAACTAAGTAATAGCTATATGCATGGTCAAGTGGAAGGTAAGCACTTGATTTATGTGTCAAGCTGCACACTTGTACCCAGAGGTTCAAAGAAGATGTAAATTGGCATGTGTCATTTAGGCAGGGATTTCCAGAGAAAGCTAATTTTAGTTGGTGCTTTGTCTCAAAGTTTGAGTGTGACAGTACTCATTTGAAAGTTGTCAACTGAGACATCAATATGGGAACTCTTGGTCTTGGGAGTCATCGTTTGAGGAGTTTATTAAAATTCTACCCAACAAGTTGGAAAGTATAAAAATGATTTCTTTGGCCATATACTTTAAAAATAGGTATTAAAGGTGAACGGACATGAAGGATGTGTAAAATGCCACTTTCAAAGTGTGTGAGTTTTTCGTTTTGGCATGTCACAAGTGTGTTTCAGGACTGCACAGCGGCAGTGGGACAGTGATGTTCACATGTACTTTACCTCTGAGGCAATGTTTCAATCAATCAGGTGCCCACGTCTTTGTCTTTCTTTGTACCTTCTTCTAGTAGAAATGATTTTTGGCCTTTTTGCACTGAGTAACCCACATTGTGTTTGAAAAAGATTATTTTCCCCTCATTGGGTTTCCAGGAAAGGAGATTAACAAGTCTTCATAACTGTTATTCTGATTCCTAGGGTAGTGGTGGCCTCTCACGGGTAGCCATTTTTCATTTTAAATTCCATTTACATTAGCCAAGAAAATAAATGGCAAACATTCAGTCTTTATAATTTCATCTTTGCAAAGCAGATAACATTCTTGTAGTTTATGTAGGGTACAGAGAATACTACAAATATATCAATTATTGTTTCCTGAAGCATTAAGGTTTAACAGCGTTGTGTATCTGTCTTTCTCAAGAATATGAAGTTTTAGTGAAGTGTTTCATCCATCTACAAGAAGCTGGGAAATTGCTGGCAGTGAACACTTGTTACTTTAGGATCCTCAGGAGGATTTGTAATATATTTTTATGTTGTTTGAGGTTTTTTTGTTTATTTTTTTAGATGCCCTTTCCAAGGAAAAGATATGGTTGTTAATTTGGTCAGCTCTAAAGGTAGACCTTTGAGATTATATGTGCTGAAGACCAGCAGTTAAAGGAGTGGAAAAGTCAACTGAGGCTATTTCTACATAACGGAAAGGGTTTTCCTCTCAGAAGCCTTGGAAAAACTTGCTGGAGGTGGATACCTACTACCATAACATGATCTTTATTTTTCCCTTTTTGTTTCCTTTTTAAATGTCATATGCTGAGAGAAGCCTCTTCTTCACTGATGAGTAGTGGTAAAAACAGGTTTCTATGGAAAGAGAATTCCACCCACTTCAAATAAAATCTAAAAATTGTTCCATATTTTTAACCAAATAGAGCTAAGTAAGCCTTTTCTTTTCATCCTGTCACTTCTGATGTCTCGTTTTATTCTTCCTTGCCTGACCGAGGTCTTTTTAAAAGAAATCAGATCACCTGTAGGTGGCCATAAATCATTTCTGCCATCTAGGTTTAAACACCTACCGTTTTGCAGGGAACTTTTTCAGGACATTTTTCCTTTCCTAGTAAAAACCTTTGTGTCTGTTGAGCCGCACTATACCGGTAAGTCTAAGGTATAAATTTGCCTTTATGCTGTTATTTGTGGGTGTTTTAATGATTTTAGATTATAGAGATTTCAAACTGTCAGACTTGAAATCAGTCTGGCTGGTGAGGAAGCTGCGAGTAGTTGTTTGGACACATGCATTTATCTTTACAGAGAAAAATAAGAGGTGCAGTGCATTTTTTTTAAAAGATCTTTCTCAACTCACGTTGCTTCCTGTGTTGTTCTCCAAGATGATAAAACATTTCTGACATGTAGCCTGGCTACTTCATGGCATCCATAATGGGTCCATCAGTAGTTGTGGTACAGCAGCTGTACTTTGTCCCTGAGAATTTATGTGGGAGTCTCTTCCTCTGTGCCTCTTTGGAATAAAGTTGTGATACATTAATGAAATAAATCCTAGCAGTAATATTGGCCTATCATTTGATGATGGCAATAAAACTGTTCATACACAAAAGCAAAAGTGCTTCATTAAATACTTTGCATTCTCCTCCTCCTTCACCAAATGCATCTTGTATTTCATGAAGCTTATGCTGTACTTTTAATGCATTTGTAAATATGAATGATGTCAAATACTGTTTACCAGAAATAAACACATTAAAATAATCTGGAGATTTAAGAGTTCCAGAAACCAGCTGAAGAGCTCTCTGGCTCCATATTGTTAACTTTTCCTAATTCTTGCAATGCAAAGGAAATTCCAGGAAACATTAAGGGTTTTTTGAGTGTCAATATACCAAAAAAGGGCAGGAAAACTGATCTGAAGGGCTGTAGATTGACATCATCGTACAAGCAATATAATGGAGATGTCAATATGTCATGTAGTTGCCCAAGAAATTAAAGGAACAAATACAGTTTAATTTAAAAAAACCAAACTGAGTAATTAAATAATGAGATTTCTCAGTGAAGGTAGCCTTGAAGTTGTAATAGAGATTTAGGGGATTGCAATTTTACTTAGCGCTTTAGGCACTGTGATTTAAAAATAAAAAAAGGGAGAGATTATACAAAATCTGTATATTTAAATGTGAATACTTGGACAGCAGACTGATCTGAAAAAGAGATGTAAGGCTATTAAGTGGGGTTACTTCTAGTGACATTCTTTAGGGATCAATAGAAAGCTTAAAGTTAATATAGTCATTAAATATCTGAAAATAATTACTTCTACATTTTGCAGATAACACAGAAATACTTGGTTAAAAGGGGAAGATAGGTAATTTTTTATAAAGTGCTTTGGATCAGCTACTAAGCTGAGCCACTCAAGCAAAGTTTATTTTAATCCAGCTCAGTGTGAGGTCGTACATCCAGGAACAAAGAATGTGGGTCCCACCTTCAGAGGGGGAAGGGACTTGTCTCCTGGAAAGCCGGAGCCTTGAGAAAGATTTCGGGGTCATGGCAGACCAACAATTTCCCAGCATTACGGTCGGCAGAAAGGAATTGTGAGTTCTTTGGGTGTGCAAACAGAGAGAATGGTACCTTGGAGTGATTCTTCTTGTGTGTAGATCGCTGCTTTGGCCATGGCTGGAGTTGTGTGGTCACTGATGAGATGTTTTCTGTTTAGATGGTGTTGTAAACAACTGTAAAACCTGTTTAAGTGTCCGAGGGAAGGCCTCACTTAGAAATCTGAACTAGTCACAGCATTTATTTTAATGAAGGCCAAGAAACACCTAAGAAGGTATTTGCAATCCAGAGAAAGGCATGACAAAAACCTGTGACTGAAAGGCGATGCCACATGTGTTTAAAGAACCCAGATCCAGGACTTTAAGTTCAGGAGGGATTACTATAGGACCTAACTATATGCGCTTCTGGAAAATATACTGTAACTAAACAAATGATTTCATATGGTGGAAGGTTAACAAATGTAATGTAATATCTGGGATATACAAGTAGGCAAACTAAAAGATGCAGTCTATTACTGCCTCTTAGGATCTTTTATTTTTACAAAAAGTAGAATTTCAAGGAGCATCATTAGTATCCCAGTGTTTGTTTCTAAGAGTTTCCTGTTGATAAAAAAGGGACAAATTATAACAGAGCAATATCAGTTTCTCTATACTGGATTTTTGAAGCAGTACCAAAGCAGAGAGATAGGACAAAATTCCACAGCCAGTGGGGTTAAAAAGAACAGAATGTGGTTTATATTGGGGCTTGAAGATACAATTTCTGAACAAGTAATAGAGAAATTAAGATAAAGGTAAAAATTGACAACTTGCTAGTGGGTATGTATTTAATGAGTTCACAGCGTAGTTCTATGAATAACAACATGCTGCTGGTAATTGTCCAAGTCTAGGCAAAGCCATGCAGCATGAGTTGGTGCTTAAGCAAGCATGAGGTTGTGCTGGGAGTCTGATGAACACTTCTGACCTGTGACTGTTCAATAAAGCCTCTCTTTGTGTCTTGAATCTGACCGCTCAAGCTTCCTACGCAGCTCTTTTTCTTCTGTTTTCTTTAGCTATCACCAAGCCTTTAGAGGTGGCTGGTGGTGACTTTCAGTATTTGATATGTGATACTTGTAGAGTCAGAGCTTTGCCATCCTGGCCTGTGCTTTTGTTTTCCTTTTCTTCTCCATCTCCCCTTTTGCAAGCTCTGAGTACCACACTGCTGATGTACTTGCAGCTCTCCAAGTACTTTCTGGCCCCCGCAGTTGCTCCTTGTACTGTCTGATGTTTTTCCTCCGATCCTTGCCCCAAACCACAGCAAATTCCAGTTATCCGTTTAGAGTCGCTGCGTGTTGGTGAGTAGTCTTCTGCCTAGGCCATAAATTTCTGTTGCCGCCAAAGCGGTATATGTCATGGAAATGAGGGATGGGGCTCTGAGGAAGTGCTGCTGTTAGGATGAGCACTCTTGTCCCGGTGAATAATGTATGAAGAAATAAAAAAATAATCAAATGCAAGCTGCAGATGTGTAAAGTGGCAATACCTGCACTTAAGCATATTCAGTTAAAACCTTATGACAGTAAATGCAGTATTGCTGTTGTAAAGGGCCATTTTTTTCCATTCCCCATGAATGCACCTCCAGCTCCAGAGTAGAGCTTTCAGCTTTGATCTGGGGAACTGTATGGTTTGCGCTTATTTGCGGAAACATTTGCCTTGTTTGTTTTTAAAGTCAGTGGAACTTGAAGGGAAAGTTTTGGTTTTCCTTGGTTCTCCTGAGAAAATCTCATCCATCTTGCTCCCGTACGCGGGTTTAAACAATCACTCTTTGTTGTCCTACAATATCCTCCAGCCCAGCCATCTCAGAGAGCCGGGCAGCCGTATCCGCTGACGTGGTTTGTGAGTGGGAGGCTCTGCCTCTTTGTGAAGGATCAGTGAAACAAGGGGAAAAGCCTTATCCTTGCTGAAATGAAGGGTGAACTTTCCATTCAGTCATGATTTCCGATGTAGATGGACGAAAATGATTGTGAGGGTCCTGAAAATATGTCCTGATTCCTTCCTTTTCTTCTTTTGGTTTTGTGTTGGTTGTGAGCAGAGGCTGGGAGCCTGAAGAGAGGAGAAGGTTAGAAAAATGATGTCTGGATGATCAGAGGGGAATGGGAGAAGAGGAGGAAAGTGGTGAGGAGGGACATGACGTGAAGGCAGGGTGTTACTGAGGCGGTCATCAGCATGCTGATGTGTAGGAACGTGCAGGATGGGAGACCTCGAGGCTAATGAAATGTCCTTGGTGTCATCCATAATGCTTGTGCTATGTAATGGATACGTTTCCTTCAACTCTTCTCCTCAACATTACTTGGTTAATAATATTAATTCCTATTAATTAGGTTGTTACAGAATAGTGAATGGATATTTGTCATCCTTGGAGATTTCATTGTTTCCAGAACAATATGGTTCCCTCGCGCTCTTCAAATATCACAGCTCATGTGCATGCAGAAGCCATAGCACAGTGGACTAAAGGGGTTAAACTGTGGGTTCTGGTTTCAGAAGCTTTCCAGCTGGTACCTAGCATTTGAAATGGAATTGATATTAAATGTACAAGTAGATGTCACAGAGGAGCTCTTTTCACATTTTTAAATTCATGTGGCAAAGTGGACAATCATAACACTTTTTCCTTTTACCCGTATTGATTTTAAATCCTGCTCTCAAGAGGATTAGACTAATAAATACTACCCTCCATTTAATAGTGGAAGAACAGACTTGGGTCACATTATTGCAACACATTCCCGTGTTCCTTTTGTGGAACTATCCATTCTCCTGTGACTGAAAGAAGGGTTTATATTTTTGTGTGTAAATACCTCCAGTTTTCTTAACTGGTCTCATCTCAGTAGTATGACAGCAAACATAATTCTTCTCATGCCCTCAGCCTTGCTCTCCCAGATGCATGCATGCAGGCAGGACAGCTGAGTAGTGCGTTGCTTTCTTTGCAGGACTTCCGAGGACCATGTCTATCAGCTCTACTCAACTGAATCAAAATACTGTCAGTAAAAATGTTGGTGATAACCTTCTTTCATCTCTATCCATCCCCTTCTACTGAGGATGATTCTGCTTACTTTCAGTCCTGACACAGTGCTACTATTTTTCCCCTTTTTGTAGGATACTGGGCTTAAGTAGAACATTTCTTTTTGTTTTGTACATGTGTTTGTTATGAAGTTGTAGTTATCAAATGCTTTTTGTCACAATAGTGTTGAAATGATCATAACGGGATATTGTCAGGCCTTAAGTTCTAGTCAACTTAAAATGAAGTATCCATCAAAATATTTTTTCCACTGCTATTGTGATGTTTCATAGCCGTCCAGGCTTTCTGTTTTCTGCCCTGATTCTTCTAGCAGATATTCCTTCACCTCAATCATTTGAGATACCAGGGTTAGAACTGAGGGGACGTCTGGACTTCTGCCAGTTGGTACAGACTGATGCTTTTCTCAAACAAATCTGCTGCCAATCTAGGGAATGCAGCAGGATAATCTCGTTCAGCCCATAGATGTTTGACCCACTGATAATAAGGTGACCTGCTAGATAGGAGACAGACATACTTGATGACAGTGTGAGATCAAATGTGCCCTAGGACCCAGATCCAAGAAGGGATGTGGATCCTGTCTCAATTCACATAAACCAGTCTGAGCTGCCACACACAGATAAAGGGATACAAGACCAGCAAGAAAGGCTCCTGAGCACTGCTGTGGGCTGTGGTTTTGGGAAGGGGCTGGGAGGGTCAGTCCTTGACCCCAGTCCTTGACTCTGAGGACAGCTGTGTGTGAGATTTTGTGCTGAAAGTTTGTTGAATGACACACATGCACAGCTGGTTTTATCTCTAGCTAAGTATATCCAGGAAGAAAGCGAGAGAGTGAGCAATCAAGTACAGTATTTGAACGCTGAAGTTAACCATGTTGTTTTTATTGAACACCGCTCCGCCAGGTCCATGGACGTGTTGAACTTTTAGCAGACCTGTTATCATATATGATGAGCCAGGACCAAGGGTCTTAACTCCATCTCCTCTAACAGCTTCATACACAGAGACCCCTGTGTTCAGCTTATGCAGCAGGGTTGGAGGGAAATACTGTATAAAGGGAAACAGGTAGTTGAATAAACTCATATTCTGGACCCAATGCATTTTAATCCACTATTAAAGGAAAGCTCTTGGTTTTGATAAGATCTTGTACCAGCAGAATATGAAATGTGGTAACTCCAGCTGAAAAGAGAAGTGTATGATAGGGTTACATATGTGCAGGAAGAGTCTGGATTTAATTATTGTCTTAATCTTGCATGTAATTCCCTGCTGAAATAGATCATATTTTCAGAAAGAGAGTAGAATAAGTAAATGTTTGAGTTGTTATCCCTCTTCTTCCTTCTTGGGTTCTCTTTGCTCACCTAAGTTCAGGTCTTCATTTCACAAATGCCCATCAGCTCCCAGACTTTCTAACTGTTTGTATTTCTGTACTGTCGGTATTACAGGTAGCCAGTCATATGTTATGGAAATTGGTTGTGTCTGACCTGGTATCTGGAAAAAGCTGGGCATCTGAGCACTGTTTTCTTCAGAGGGGAATGACATGATTTTAGATAGTTGAGGAATTTTCTTTATTTTTCATCTTAAAAAAAAGAAAAAGTGAAAGACTGGAAGTGAACTATAAAAGAGAGAAAGGGAATGCATTGTAAAAACATAACTGAAAATGTTAGGTCCAGTAAAGACACAGCTTTCAAAATGTATAGATAGAATGTGAAACTATGTTGTCATAATGCATTTTTAGTACTGAGCTGGAAAATCAGGGTCTGACCTTACTAGTACAGAATATCATATTTGGGTAATATGTAGTGACTTTTCTTGCAAGTTACCATGAAAGGATTATCAGTAATGTATTATTGCTTAGCTTTTGTAACCCTTGACATGGAATAGTTCCGCTATTGATGGCAATCTCTCCCACACTGACATCAGTAATACCTTTATCACTCCCCAGCTGATAGCAGGAAACCAGATGTGCAGGGATGGTGAGCACTTAGTTAAACTCAGCTGGGGTTTGGCTCGCGGCTCTTCCCTCGCTGTCTCAGGGTATCCTCTCAATTCATGTAGGCTCCTGGGCGCCTGGTGTTTATTTAGCACCAGATTCCTTCAGGATTTGCTTTTTTCTCTCCCATAACATCTTTCCCATTATCAGTGTTTGGGAAGAGAGGTTGCTGACCTGATGGAGACAGTTGTGTGCTGAGGGAACGCGTTTGGGAAGAGGACAAAGGAAGCACTCCCATTCTTTCAAACACTAACCCGAAATAACACTCAAGGGTGTGACACCCTGCAAATCCTTTGCTCTTTTTTTCCCTGCTCTAAACTTTGGGATTCTTCAGAAGACTTGTAATGTTTGAAGTCTTGCAACAAAGACTGGTTGCCTACTTGTTGAATTGTAGCTGTCACAAGATCTTTTAAGAAAACAGAAGCATGTATTATTGAAACATCAGGCCTCTGATTGCCATCATATGCTATTAATTTGACAAAAAAAATCACCAATAATGTTGTAAATGAGCTTTTACCAACCAAGTAAACTTCTAGTTCAGCTTCTTCTCTGAAAAAGAGTTTGCAGTTGGGTTTTTTTCCCACTTTGACTACAGTAACATCCACAAAAAAAAAAAAATATATATATATACACATTACAAAAACAGCTTGTGTGCAGAATGGAGACTAGATATTTTCTAGACAATTCTGGCATGGCCATGGTTTGTCTGCCTTTGCAGTGGGGAGATAGCAGTGCTAAAATTGTGCTAATTTGAAATAAATTATTAAAACTCCTAGAATATCTTTATCAAAGTGAACCCAGGACAGAGGAAGGCTCTTGTGAGCAAAGAGGTAGCTAGTCTTGCCACAGCTAATCCTGCACAGGATTAGTAGAAGGTTGAAAGTATTAACTTGCACTGGGAATTGACACCAAGGGATCTAACCTTGGACTCAATAAGCATTGCAAGGAACAGAGCTAGGAAGTTAAATTGCTTCTTACTCATTTTCAGGTACAAGAATGACATGTGCATGTTAATTCATCTGAAATCAATGGAAATCTGTCTTCCAGTTTAAAGCCAATTTATCTAATTGATATTTTCATTGAACTGCATGGCACTTAAGCCTTGTGTCCAAAATGACTCACAGTTTAGAGAGGAAGACTGAGATAATACGAGAAGGTAATTAAAGTCAAGCACTGTCATCCTATTGATTTGTAAGCCAAAATGTATGTTTATTAAGACCTACAGCTGATATTTCATGTGATAAATTGTGGAAGTAGTGGCCTTTGGCTCTGAAGGCTGGTGGACATTTGAGTCATTTTTTTATATCACTGAATAGGGAACTATTTATGTCTTGGCACTGAGTCGAGGACTTACGTGGTAGTGACCTGTGAGCTGGTTAAATTGTTATACTGGATTAGCATTAACACGATGGCTTTTACACATTTTGCAGCATTGCTATGTTATCTATTAAGTCAGGATTGTCAAATCTATTTTGTGTGTTTAAGGCTGTAAAAATTCCTATTGTCTATTATTAGTGCTTGTTTAAATCTTGAAACAAACATGTTTAGACTAAAAGTTTCAAGTCAAGTGTTTTAAAAGCCATGTTCTTGAATTCATTCTTAGTCACCAAACTAAACAGCTCGATTCTCAGAAGTACTGAAGAGCTGTGCGGAATTCAGTAAAAGCTCTGGAATCTACGCATGGGTTCACGTCCTCGGCATCAAGTCAGAGCGAGTAGAAAAAAGGCCTGACAGATCAGAGAACTTTCCCACAGAGAAAGAGGGGAGAAACCCCAGAAAAAAAATGAACATGGATGAAAGCACGTGGCAACTGTAGAAGTGACCCTGATGGTCATGTGTATTTCCTCACTTGATGCCATTGAAAATGACTTCATATTCATTGCTTTAAAGGACCACATTTTATCCTTTATTCATGCAGGACTCTTGCTGTAGGTTGTAGGGATTATTTACATCTTAATTTATTTCTCAGTCCATTGGCTGTAATTAAAAATGGAATTTGGCACTCTCCAAGAGCCCCTGCTGGAGACTTTCACCTTGTAGAAGAAAGAGGATTAGATGTGATGATTTATTGGGCTCATGTACAGTCCCCTGACTGTACCGTGGCACTGAGCCGAAAGAAAGCTGAAGTGATATCCATTCCTCTCTGGCAGCCACTCACACCATGAGCAGAGTAGATCCTATCCTTTGACTAAACCCATGTCTTGTTCCATCCAAACTTGCCCAAGTTCCTGATGAGTGTGGGCTCTTGGTAGCACAAAGTTAAGGTTGGAGAAGGCAGTGGCTGCCCGCCAAGGCAGTGTGCCTTTAGGATGTTGGAATCTGTGCCTGTGTTTGTGTTGTCACAATGTGCCTTAGGCTGTGGCTGTGAAAAGCGCGGGAAGTGATTTCTTACAGTCATTACACTGCATCTTCGAAAGGGAGTTGGAATCACAGCTACGACATTTGATCATTGCTCTGTGGTTTTCAGATTTTTAGGCCTTTTTGGTACTAAAGCCAGACAGAAATGCAGTCATAAATCTGGCAGTGGCTTTGCTTGCTTGGTTTCTTGTCCCCTGCTAAGCCAGAAAACAAAAAAGAAGAAATATGTGGCCATGCCCAGCTTTTACCACAGCATTTAAAAAAATGTGTATTTCTTTGAGGTGATTGTCCTGGGGGAGGAGATGACAAGCCTGCTCTTTGTTAGGGTGAGCTTTCAGGACCATGGTGTCTTTTGAAACATCTTTAAGTGCCTTATAGCTTTCTTAGATGCTCTTAAAAGTGCTCTTTTTGGATTCAGAGTTCTTTGTCTTTGCTGGATACTAGTGAGGGATCATCCTGTAATACCCTTCATAAAAACCCAGGTTGTTCATACCAAAACACTTTTTTCTTCAGTTCGGTGTGTTGTCATGCAACATGTCTCACAGGAAAAGGATAAAACATCCTGATGAAGGGATACAGCTGGCTAGGGCTGTTTCCATTGCAGGAAGGGATACTGGCAGAAGGGTAGTTTACTGGGACTGAAGTGTATTGATTTCTGCAAAAGCCTGATTGCAAAATTTTCTTATGTCCAGGATGTAGTCTGCTCTGAAGAGAGAGAAGGAAAAAACCTCACCACCCTAGAGAAGTTTCTTGTAAGAACCAGAAAACTACATAGGATAGCTGAGGAACTCGGCTTCATGTCCCCAATCTAATTCAGGCACAGTGAAAACTTGCAGCAGTTTGCTATTACTCACTGAACCCTTGTTACGCAGTTGCTTCTGTTGATAATGTGAACTCCTTGGATATTACACTTGTTTTGACGTCCTCCAGACGTTTTTCCCATTAAAGAAGCTGTGCTGTCCATGATTTGCCAGGGGTGCTTTTTCATTATGCAGAAGTGTCCTTAACTTTCAGTGGTTCCTCAGCATAGCAGTGTCATGGTGAAAAACGGTGAATATGTGTAAAAGCTGCTTGTGGAAATTATTCCCCTTGGCAAATCCACTTCATTAGGGCCATGTAACTGGTACAAAAAGCAACATATAACAGTTTCCTTGGCTTGAAGGATTTTTCAGTCTGTCTCAAACCTGGTTGTCATTGCATCCTTTTAGAAATCTTACTTCCTTTTAGAAATCATTAATACTTAAAAGTCATCTGTGGGCTGTGTCATCACTCTGTGGAAGTGGTACATTTGGGTATACTGAAAAAGAAAGAAGTTGGATGTATTTCCAACCTAAAATAGTACTTCTCCAGATTGCATTTGGGCAAATATTCAGTATTCTCATTTCATGCTCATACCCCAGACAGTCTGTGGTGTACCTGTGAAGCAGAACTATCTTGTCTCTGTCTTACTGAGCACAAATCCCACAGACCGTCGTTTTCATGTTTGTAGGATTGCGAGCAGAAGGGACTGAACATGTGGTAAAATTAATAACTGGGTAGCATTCATACTTTCATCCTTAATTAAAGACAAGTGGGTATGTGAAATATATTTCCCCAGGGCTGTGGTGAGGGAATATCCACACATGTAATTAATCTAGCTGCTGGAAGTCACAATTTCACCACTAAAATGAAGCAGAAGGAGACACCAGTGAACAATATGGGCACACTCCAACATTCATTGAAGTCAATGGGAAACTTGTCTTCTGACTTCAAAGGGCATTGGACTGAACCCTGCAAGATCATATTAAAGCACTGAGAAGTCTTTAAGCGCTTATTCTTGCCATGCTACAGTAATAGAGCTAGAAAAACTATAGGTGGATTTTAATTCAGCCCACTGCCTACACTTCTAATTGTTCCGTGTTTACACAGCTGGTTGCATACAGTTGGATTAGGTGGTGATTTGCCTGAAGATTTATTGTGTTTTGCTGTTGCTTCATGGTATGCTTTTTTATAGTCTTGTTTCTATGTACATGGAGTCTCCTTGTGTGCTGATACAATCCTGACTTAAGTTACTACGCGTGATTTTCTGTGAGAGCAAAGCTAGTCGCTTCTGTGAGTTGTAGAGTTGTTACTGAGCAGCCTTGGTACGGTGCAACTCCTACCCTGAGGGTGGGACTGTAGAAGGGGCTGAAGATGTCAGTGTCTCTTCCCCCAAGGGTACTAGCAGCACCCCATAGGGTGCATGGTCCGTTTTATGGAATGGGGAAGGGATCACAGAGCTGCCCACTGCCATCACCGCTGCCATTGTCCCTGCTGTCATCGTCATCCAACTTGGTGTCTGGTGTGATTCGCTTGGCTAACCGGTGATTTGGGAATGCGGTTAGCCGCTAATCTTTGTCTGATTTCAGGAGTGGTCTGTGTCCAGTCGACATATTAGAGAGAGCAAATAGTTGTCTTGAAACAGATCAAAGAAGGTGATCAGAAAGCCAGTTGGTGCACAGGTTTCCCATATCTGGAAGATGCAATTTAAATTGCATTGCATCTCAATTACTTGTTGTGGTTGGCAGGCTGGGTTCAAAGAAGCCCTCTAACTGATGCAAGGCAAAGTTGAGCATTGGCCCATTTGGGGATTTGTTGTGCTTGCTTAGGGTATTTATTATCTCCTCTGTTTTGTCTGCACTGAATTAATGCTAAGTGTTTTAAATAGCTGAACTTTAAGAGGAATGTTTGCCCATGAAAAGGTAGAGTGTTTGCCGCATCTGTTTTCTGGTAAATTGGATTTTGGAAGTCAGGACTAAACAAAGCACAGTGAGCATTTTGTCCTCACACAGCGAACTTATTGTGACAAACTGTTTGAGTTTGTGGCTGGGGCTCCAACAACAAGAAAAGGCAATCAATAGTAAGGGTTCATCCCATCAGCGAATAACGTGGCACCATTTAATACATCTGGTGTGAAGCCTAGAATATGGCAAATACAGAAACTGAAACTTTCTTACTTTTTATCCTGAAAGGGATATGATCTATGAGTTTTGCTTTCAGAACCATGCTGGAAGATGGCTCTGCATATCTGTAGCCTTATTTTATAGCCAAATTGGTATCTTTAGCCAGTAATTCATTTCATTGATATTGCAAAATAATAAAGCAAGACGGAGTTTTCTTTTCCTTTAGTAGGTGGAGCACACTGGAGGTGACCTCAATCAGTTTAGAATTTAAAAACCCCAGAGATGAAGGAGATTTATTCTTTGCCTCCACATTTTGTAGCACTAATGGAAACACATCCTATTATTTTTTTTTTAATATTTTAAGAAAATGTTTTGGTTTTGCTGAAAAACAGTTGGTTTATAGGTGTGGCAAATATGCCACTGCTTCTTTGTACCAAGAGTAGGTCCCAAAAGAATTTTTTTTTTTTTTCATCTTATGACTTGTTTTGGTATAATGTGCTTGTTCCTGTTTGGCACAGAGAAGAACAAAGCGAGTGGAGAAGCCTGCTTCCTGTCTTCTGTGTTGAATACAGAAATTAATTAGTTGTATAATTGTTGTATATAAAAACCTACTTGTCTATGTGCATAGGTAAAAATCTCTGTTTTCTTTTGCAGAAGAGAGTCAAAGACGTCATATCTCCGATTGTATTTGAAGCTGCATACAGCCTTGGGGAACATGTGATGGAAAGAGGAAAAGAGGACAAGGAACTACCTCCTCTCAAACCCATTCTCCGCTGGAAGAAAGGACAAAAGATAGCGCAAAGGAATCAGGTCAGGTTTGGACTATGTTATTTCCCTAGAAGGCTTGGGGCTGAACTGACAGCAGAAGTGGATGTAAAAGGGGATTGCCAAGCTCTGGGTTGTTTGCACATGGTAGCCTTTTTGTATGATCCCTACTGTTGTTGACATCAGTGCTTCTCCGTGACGTACTTGTGCTGACAAGGTTGGGCAGTGCAAAGTGAGGTTACTTATTTGTTAATGGGTAGTTGTGCTGGGAAGAAGGAGAGTGAATAAGGGAAAGGATGAGAAAGGTTCTGCTCCTTTGGGTTCTTCCCTTTCTGTAGGAGGTTCTTGTGAAAGGCTTGGCCCTGGCCTTCTTCCCAGGTTGAGTCTTCATTAGTGCCAGAGGGGACAGGGCTGGCACCAGGAGAGGACACGGGAACTTGCCCCTCTGTGTGAGGGGAGAATGCTGGGTGGAAAAAAGAAAATTTGCCTGGCCCAACTGCCCTCTTTTCTTGAGGGCTCCTCACGTCCTGTCATGCTGCAAGGGAAACCTGCTGTTATTGCAGGACATGCTGTGCTAAAATAGGATGGTTTTGTTTCAGAGAAAGTAAAGTGTAGTGCAGCCATGTACATACCAGAACCCTTTTGTCTCCCCTGAAGTGCAGAAAACCCCTTTGTCTTTAATTTTGGTGAGTGCAAGAGAATTCCCTTAATTTTGAAACACTTCTCATTTAGAGAGTAGAGATTTCTTTTTTTTCTCTCATTTCTCCCAAATTATTCCCTAAGGAAGTGAAATGTATGTGATTATGCCACCTCTTGTTTGTCCATCTTGAAATCACCAGCATCTTTGGAAAATGCTGTCCAATTTTGGCAGGTTTTGACAGTCCTTATGAAGGTCTTAAACACCTTGAGGGCTCATGAAGCAAGCAGTCATGCTGAGAAGAGAGACCTCATTAGTGACCTTTCGAAAGGCTCCAGTTTGAGCACAGTCCTTGTAGGTGCAGGACAGTCTGCCAAGGAAGGAGCCTGCAGGACAGTTCAACCTCCCACCGTGCCGGCACTGGAGCATCCAACCGTGAAGCTCAAGGCTCCACAGGGAAATCAGACTGCTCTTGTGGCTTGCAAAACATCTTGTTTGTCAGAATTGCAGGATAACTGAGGCTAGAAGGGACCTTTGTAGATCCAGTTCCTTGCTCATAGCAGAGCCAACTTAAAAGTTAGATCGAGTTGCTCAGGGTGGCATCCAGTCAAGTTTATTTTCCAAGGCATGCATACAGAGTTACCAGCTGGCATTGCTTGTGACTAGGAAACTTTTTTTTTTTCCCCAAAAAGCTGTGAAAAGTCTGTCTGGAGTCTGAGGCTTTTAGCAGTGGATTGTTAGATCTGTTTTTTAACCCTGGGAAGTTAATCTCTATTAAGTGATGCTTGCATCATCATCTGTAACATTTTCTGATGCTGCTACTAAGGCTCTGTTATTGTGTTGAAATTGCACATCCCTGAATACTACGCAAAAAAAAAAAACAAAACCAAAATGCTTAAAGAGATTTGCTTTGTCATATACCCAAGTGTTTGAAACTGTATTTGGCTACAGTCATTGTACTTAGAGACATGAGTATTTGTTCAAGTATGCTTTATTTTTATAACTGTATGAATGAAAGATGCATCTAATAATTATTTATTTTTTATGAAGAAAGATTGTGTGGCTGTTACGTATCTGAATTGCAATGACATGATGGGAATTTGTGGAGAACTTTGGAACTTGAGCAGTGTGCTGAAAACCTGTTACATGAACAAAACTGCTTGGATACTTTACCACTGGGTTTAAACACAAAAGGTCACATCTTGCCCTGCAGGCATAGTCTTAGATTAATATTAAAATACCTAAGTGCTGAGATTATAGCAAAGAAACAAAAATATGTTGGGCATTTCCCTGACTTGTTTTCTTGTGTAATTTGGATGAGAGGGAGCCTGTTTAACAATCCCTTTCCATTTGCTTTCCAGATGTTGTTCACTTAGCTTAGTAAGAAAAAAAAAAATTGACATGGGGTGTGCCTGCAAGTATGCTTTCGACTAAGGAAGTGGGCAGAGCTTCAGAGTTAGTGTGGCAATCATGGTGGCAAAGCCCTGATGGAGTAGCCTGGAGGCATGGTGGCATGGTCCTCAAGACTGATTCAATGGGAAAAACAGGGTCTAGCATTCTCTTTCAGGATTCTTGTCATCTCAAAAGTAGAAATTGTTTTAGAAGGCCAAGAGGAATAGTAGGAACCAAAGTTTGTATCATAAAGGATTTACGTTTTCAAAGAATCTGACAATTATGGAGGGACCTTACGTTTTGGAAGTCTAGTTCAAGAGAGTGTGACCAAGTGGACAATCTGCTCAGCCTGGTGGCCCTGGAACAGGTTGCCCGGAGGGGTGGTGGATACCCCATCCCTGGAAGCATTCAAGGTCAGGTTGGACAGGGCTCTGAGCAACCTGATCTAGTTGAAGGTGTCCCTGCTCATTGCAGGGGGTTTGGACTAGACAACCTTTAGAGGTCCCCTCCAACTCAAACTATTCTATGATTCTATGGTTTAGTGAACTCTGTTTTCAGAAGATACAGTGTGGGTGAGGGCAGGTGGACAAGCTTAGTGTTAGTGCTAGTACCGAAGTCTTCAAATATAGCTAGTTGGGTGTGGATCCAGTAGGAAGTGCCATTTTGAAATCTGAAATGTTGCATCTGTTCCCTTGAGGCACCATTAAGGTAGTGTTACAGGTTGACACTGCTGGAAAGCACAGGTGGTTGTTTTTTGTGAATGAATGCAGGAGAAGAAACTGGAAGTAGTAACTAGCTGAAGAAATGGGAGTGAGCTGTGACTGGGTAGGAAAAGGGGAAACTTCAGTCTCTCAAGATCCTACGGCAGGTCTGCTAGACCTACTTGAAAAGCTACACATCTTGTGAACATGTGGGCTTTATAGTCACCTAGGTATGATTTTATTTAAACTAAAGTAATGTAAAGTGAAGTGATCACTTTCACTGGGATTTCAGTTTCTTTTTCAAGAACCAGATGGTCCCTGCACGCATACATGGCTTCCCAAGAGTGTACAGCCCTATGGCTTACAAACAAGGAGGTAGGAAAGTCATCAAGTGGTTTCTTGACATGATAGTTAAAGATTAGTTTGAAAATACGAAGTTCTTCATGATACTTTGCTCCAATGCATTAAGGATTCAGGTTGGAAATAGTGTTCATGGACACCCACCAGCGGGAAGGTGTATCCGTCCCTAGTTACATAATCACAGAAAATTATTTTGCTGGATATCCATCCTTTAAATCAGTATTACATTGCACTTGAGAGAACAGTCTGGTCTTGTATTAATGGCTTAGACCAAAGCAGAACTTAAATAATAAAGGAGTGAGTAGATGTGGGGTTCTGTTCAAAATGCATTTATTTATTGATCAACTTTATTTTAAAAGTATGCAAGTTTTACTGTAAGGCAGTGCAAAATGCTTGTTTAAAAAAAAAAAAAACCAAAAAACAACAAACAAAAAAACCCCAAACACCCAAAACATAAAACCACCCACAAAACCAAACCTTGACTGTTTAGTGAAGGGGCCTGCTTTTATTCCTAAATGAACTGCACTTGAAACAATCAAAATATGATAAATACTTTGAACATCTGATTGATTTAAATAAAAGGATCCTAACTGAAAATTCCTAATGAAAAACATGTAATTGTGGGACTTCATGTATTGGCCATTTTTGTAAGCAAAGAGGTTCTGATACTTCAAAATGAAATAATAATGTAATTGGACTGGCCTGAGGGACTGTTTGGCCCAGGATACGGTAACAGTTGATTTCTCATGGATTTAATTATTTTCTTGGTTCTTGTACATGCTTACCAGAAACTGTGGTTGCTATAGCTTGGTTTCATTATTTGTAGTAGCAAAAGCAAATACTTAAGGCTTATGTGTACATGGCTGTTGATATGTGCCTCAGCAACTTGTACAATTATCGGGTGGGGAGACTGGTTGTGTGGAGAAGATTACAGCTTTCCAAGTTGTCAGTGGCTACCCAGCTTAGTTTTGCTCAAACAGAAAACCTCTGATGGGTTGAGATTGGGTTGGGGAAATAAAAGTTTCTGCTTTTTGAGTGTGTATTATGAACTTTTAAAACTTCCCACCCTGAGGATGACTTTCCATTAGCTTCTTTGTTGCCTCCTAAATCCAGTTGCTACCTCCATCCACTGGAAAAAACTAATAAGTCGTCTTACTTCAGGGAAATTAATGTGTATTTAGAAACTTGGTTTGGCTTAGTTCATCCTAAGTGGTTTGTGCTATAACGTTTATTTTTGTATACCCACTGTATAAATACATGTCAACCAAGAAGGAGAGAGATCTCCTGCCAAATGCAGTGGGGATTTGTTCCTAGTAGTATCCAATAATGTAACTTAGAGTTCAAAATGTGGTATGCTAGAATTCTGCCTGTTCTAAATACTGTCATAAAATCACCTGCTGTTATGTGGATGGCGACACCATTTTGTTTTAGGAAAATATTCTCAGTAGATTTAATTGCGTCAGTGTCTTCAGGACTTTAGGCATGGTCTGCCATAAAACTGCTTGGAAGTAAGTTATAGGAAGAGACAGAAAATGTTTAGGACGTTCTGTTCCGAGCTGTGCCACTGTTTCATAGCAAGAGCTTGAGTACAGTGCTGCACCTCCAGGTGACTGAGGCTGCACGTTTCTGGGGTAAACTTCACTTTTTTTAAAGCAGAGGACTGTGTTTTGGAAATACTTGTGTTTGAAAAGCTGGTTATGTATTTGCATATAAATTAGCTTCATTGGCACATATGAGAAAGTACAGGAAGAATTTTATGGAGCTGAATTATGAACACCTTTAGTGATTTTTGGTTTCCTGCACAAATAATGCCATTCTCTATTTTAAAACACGCACGCACACACCCCGGTCTCATACTGAGGACAAAGCAATGACAGATCTGGACAGGCTGAAATGTAGAGTCCATACACAGCATGGTCCAGGTTTGTTGGTGGTATCTTCTCCAGAGCAGAGAT